CTGCACTCCAGTCTGGGCGACAGAGTGAGACTCTAACTCAAAAAAAAAAAAAAAAAAAAAATTACATATTTATTAATTACAAAGGGAAAATCAGTCACTTTACTGCGGAGAAACCTGATGGACCCTTCTCGACCAAAAGATGAAGGCTGCAGTCCTGATCTACAGACATCACACACCCCTCACATGATGTCCTGAAGTGCCCAGAACATCACTTCTGGGAGATTCTTGCCAAACCTAGAACCACATCCTGATCATGTGGAAACATCAGATAAACCCAAAGTGAAGAATGCTCTGCGACATGACTGGTCAGTGTAGCCCAAAAGTGTCACAGTCGTGGCAACTGAGGAGCAACAGGGACTGGTCACAGCGGAGGAAACGAAAGGGGCTGAGACGACGGCCTGCAGTGTGGGATCCTGGAGTTGACGGCAGTCAGAGAAAGGACATGAGTGAAAACCTGCTGACATCTGCATACAGTCTGCCGCTCAGCAATGCTGATTCCCAGTTCTGATCACTGAGCCCGGTTCTGTAAGATGGTCCCATTAAGGGAAGCAAGGGGAAGGGACTACTGGAACTCTCTGGATTACTTGTGCAACTCTTCTGTAAATCTGAAGTCATCTCAGAATACAGTGTGTTTTTTAAGATAGAGAGTGTTGAGGTGAAACAGCAGAACAAGGCTAAGCGTCCAGAAACTGAGCGCTGGCTCCGTCTTCAAGCCCCTCTGGGATTTAGGCTGAGACCCTTGCCCTCCTGGGCATCAGAACGATGAGTAGCTCAAACAGAAGAGGGTTTCTGCGGGCCCCATCAGACAGCTCACACTGGAGCCCACTGTGGGACTCCACCTTGTTCTGGAGACCAATTGTCTCTCTTCTCAGCCTTATCTGCTCCCTCCACACGCCCCTGGGACCTGGGGTCAGGGTAGGAGGCCGAACTTGTGAGCCCAAGTGCCCCTAGGCTATGTCAAATCACAGCACCAAGGGGCAAAACTCCTCGGAGAAGGGGAGAAATGGGCCTGCCTGCTTGGGGTCTCCACTCAAACGGAGTCACGCCTAGCAATGAAGGCCAATGGACTACTGGGGAAGGAGGGAGGAGGGATGCTGGACTCCAAGTGGTGCACCCCAAACCTCCACAAGGAAGGGAGTGGATGTGTGGAGGCATGAGAGAGCCTCAGGGCCAGCAGAGCTGGCTGCTGGCACCAATCATCCGTTAAAAGCAACAGCTGATGCTTCCTGTTTACTTCGCTAAACCTACTTTATTCAAGTTGTGTCACTGAATCCTCATAGCAACCCCTGGAGGTAGGTGTTCTTATCTCCATTTTACAGAGGAGGCGACTGAGGCCCAGAGACAGCTTATGTAACTCATCCAAGGTCCCAGTGTTAGTCTTCCACCCACATGCAACTGCAGGGCACACATATCCCTCTCCTGTAACACACCTCCTGTGGGCAGGTGGCCCGGGGTGCACTGGCAGGTGGCTCTCAATCCCTGATAGGGTGGCAGAAGCATCTGGCCCTCCTGGGCTTTCAAGGGAGACGAGCTGGTATAAAAGGCGTTGGAAGAGCAAACTGGCCCAGGGGATCAGCAGAATCTACCAGTCACTCACATGAAAGCACAGACGGAAGAAGAAAGGGTCCCCATGAGCTGGAACTCAGAAGACCTGGGAAGGGTAGGCTTCTGCCATTTATCAGCAGGTTTCTCCGGCCACACCCCACACTTGCCTGACAGCAGCAGATGCAGGAATCTTGCTTATATGACACCATATGACCTCTCTAAACCTACTGTCACAGCTGTAAAATGGACTCTCAGTACCAGCCCTGCTTACCTGACACACAGAGGAGACCCAAATAGGATCATAGATTTCCAGGTCCTGGGTATACACTATATTGCCACACAGTAATAAGGAATAAGATATTGGAGTAATTACCATTACTGCACTGGTATAGGGTATGGTTTGTTAAAGACACTGAGCCCTTGCCTATAATCCCAGCACTTTGGGAGGCAGCGGTGAGAGGATTGCCTGAGCCTACGAGTTCAAGACCAGCCTGGGCAACATGGCGAGACCTCATCTCTACAATAAGTCAAAAAATAAGCCGGGTGTGGGGGCGCACGCCTGTAGTTCCAGTTACTTGGAAGGCTGAGGCAGAAGGATTGACTGAGCCCAGCAGGTCGAACCTGTGGTGGCCGTGAACAGCGTGCCACTGCACTCCAGCCAGGGCCACAGAGTGACACTCCAACTCAAAAAACAAAATAAATAAATAAAAAAAGACACTGAGCCCTACTGCGCAGCTACTAAATCCCATTAAAGGGGAAACAAGCCATGTTGGCAGAGTTGGCACTTAGCTCTGCAGCAGGGGCATGGCAGCAGCTGGGGAGGGACCCAGAGCCAGCTCCAGTTGGAACGTAGACATGAAACAGGGCTGGGACTGAGGTGGACGCTGGAAGGGGGTCGGCCCTGCAGCGTCACCAGGCCACACTGACTCTGCCAATGTCCTCCCTTCTCCAGGTCGGAGGCTCCCAGGATGCAGTCACAGGAACTTAGCAGAATCCATGGGGAGCTTGCTCAACCCAGTACCCTCATTCTGCCAGGAAGGAAGAAATGCTAAACTAACTTTTGGGGTTTTCTTTGGGTTTTTTTTGAGTTGGAGTCTCACTCTGTCACCCAGACTGGAGGTACAATCTTGGCCACCGCAGCCTCGACCTGCTGGGCTCCGGCGATCCCTCTGCCTCAGCCTTCCGAGTA